AGTGTATGCCAGCGGGGTAAAGGAACTGTGCTAGCAGGCGATCTGTAGTGGAACCAGGAAGCGATGCTCAAAGAAGCACCAGGGCTCCCCTGAAAAGTACCACAGCCATCCTCAGCAACAGTGAGGTCCCGAGCTCCTCCAGCGATGAGGAAAGCTGAGTTCCATCGGGAAAGCCAATGTGACCAGCTTCTCCACGAGGCTGAGCAGTGCACCATCTTCCCCTCGAGCCAGGAAGCAATGCTCCAGGACCAGAGCTTCCGCAAAATGAACTGTAGTGGTTCGCAGCAACAACAGAGCTCCCAAGCTTCTCTAGTGACAAGAGCAGCCAAGTTCATCAGGAAAGCCAGCATCCGAGTTGCCCCCAACAAAATAGGGCAAGAGAACCAGCAGCCTCCAGCAGCTCCAACAGCTTCTCCCTCACAGCCTGTGTTAGTTCTTCTCCAGTTCTCCTCTTATTCTGCTGACAGCAGTCCTCAGGTGGCCTCCCACACCCAGCACCACACTAGTTCAATTCAGCTGGGTGTAACAAGTTGACCACCAGTTAACAATCCACTACAGTAACAAAAACAGCGTGGATGGGTATGGTTGTGCATGCCTGTAATCCCAGCACTGGGAGACTGAGGCAGGATAGCTAAAAATTCAAAGTCATCCTAGGCTACATAGTTCAGGGTTAGCCTGAATTATACAGTCAGACCCTGTCTCAAAAAACAAAACAGGGGCCTGGGGAGATAGCTCAGTAGTCTAAGCATCTGCCTGGCAAGACCCAGGTTTAATCCTTAGTACCGCATGCTGTGCTGGCCCAAAACTCTGGAGGCACACACCTGTAATCCCAGCACTGGTGAGGCTGAGACAGGAGGATCACTATGAGTCTGAGCTGCGTAGCGAGACCCTGTACCAAATAAGTAAAGATGGAAAACAAATTAAACAGGGCTGGGAAGATGGCTCAGTGAAATAAGTGCTTCCCTGGCAAGCGCAAGGGCCTGAGTTCAATCCTCAGTTCCGCAGAAAAAAGAAAAAAATTAAACAAAGAAAAACAAAACAAACACACAGAAAAAAAGCATAGTAGTGGTACAAAAATAGACATGTAGGACAGTGGAAAAGAGTATGTGACATAGGAAAATAAACCTACATAACTACAGCCATCTAATTCTGGACAAAGGAACCAAACATATACATTGGAGAAAAGACAGCTTTTTAACAAATGGTGACAGAAAAAGTGGATACCACTTGAAGGAAGGTTGAAACTAGATCTTTCTCTCTTATCCTGTATAAAAATCAATTCAAAATGAATGAAAAACCTAGGTGAAAAAAAAAAAAACAAAACAAACAAACAAACAAAAAAACCCTAGGTGTAAGACCTCAAACTTTAAAACTGCTAGAAAAAAACATCAGGGAACTGACAAATAGTTTGATATAAAAAATCAAATAGCCCTATCAACAAATAAGGAAACAAACTGAACAAACACTTCTCAAAAGAACTACAAATAGCCAGTAATAAATATATGGAAACAATGCCCATTTTTAGCCACTAGGAAAGTAAAATCAAAACAACATTGAGATTCCATTTCATCCCAATCGGTAAGACTATTAACAATACAAAAAACAGGGCCAGCGAGATAGCTTAGTGGAGTCAGATACCTGTTTTGCTTTTGCTTTTTTTTTTTTTTAATTTTATTTATGTGTGTGTGTGTGTGTGTGTGTGTGTGGCCAGCTCAGCCCACCAGGGGGCGGGGCTGGCTGGTATGTGGTGCTGGGGGATTGAACCGCGGTCCCTGTGCTTTGCTAAGCTTGTTCTAAGTAGGTGCTTTAGACCACTGAGCCATCTCACCAGCCCCTGCTTTGGCTTTTTGAAGCAGTGTTTCTTTGGCCTATATTGTAGTTCAAGCTGTTTTTTGGCTTGTTTTGTCTTTTTACTTTTATTTATTTATTTATTTATTTTTTCTGAACTGGGGACTGCACTCAGGCCCTTGCGCTTGCCAGGGAAGTGCTTATTCTACTGAGCCATCTCCCGACCCCTGGTGCCTGCTTTGTCAGGTGCAGGGACCAGCGTTCAATCCTGGGTCCTGCATGCTGTGCCAGCCCTGCCCCCATGTGCTGAGCCTGCGAACAAGTCCAGGTGTGGTGGCACACCCCTGTAATTGCAGCACTGGGGAAGCTGAAAACAAGAGGATCACTACAAGTCCAAGCTGCGTAGTGAGACCCTGTAGCAAATACATAAATGAAAAACAAAACAAAAAACCAAGCTGGGCTGGGCATAGTGGCACACATCTGTGATGCCAACATTTTGGGTGGCTGTGACAGGAGGATCCCAAATTCCAGCCCAGTTTGGGCAGTTTAGCAGCTTAGTGAAACCCCGTTGTGGTAGGATCCCTCCAGATGTGTCAGGGTGGAAACTTCTTACAATGTGCAGAATAGTAGCCTCTGTGTATGCATGTGTAGTTCTGATGTAACAGTAACAGAAATAATAAGCCAACCAGACTAGAATGTTAATGTATACCCAAGCAGATAGTAAAATGTTAGTGTGTGCCCATAGAAGGGAGACAAAGGCACAGCAACTGGAATAAGATGCAACTACGCTGTGTTCAGCGCTCAGCCTTTGGATGCACATCCACTGAGTCAGGGCTGCACAAATAAAGCTGCTTCCTGGGAAAAAGGCCTCAGTGTCTGTCTCTCAAAACAAAAAAGTAAAAAAGGGCTGGGGATGTAGTTCAGTGCAAAAGCCCTCGGTTTAATCCTCATTAGTAGGGGGGTGAGGGTGGGAGGAGAGGCAAACAACAACAAGTGCTGGTGAGGACACAGGAAAAAGGAACACTTATGTTTTGCTAATAGAATGCAAATTAGTACAACCACTATTGAACTCAGTAGGAGGTTTCTCACCCCCACCCCCACCCCACCATATAGCTGCCTTTGCTTCCTCCAGCTATACCACTCCTTGGTATATACCCAAAGAAATTGAGGTCATCTTACTGTCGGGTTACCTGTATACCAGTGTTTATTGAGGCACAATGAGCAAAATAAATGAGATTCAATAAAACAAATATCCTGCCAGGTGTGGTGGTGCCCGCCTGTAATCCCAGCACTTGGGAGGCTGAGGCAGGGTGACTGCTGCGAGTTCAAGGCCAGCTGGGGTTAGTGAGTTGAAGGTCTGCATCAACTGCATAGTGAGACCCTGTCTCAAAGACAAAAAAACAAACAAACAAAAAAACCCAAAACCAAAACCCAAATATCTCATGTTTTCCCTACTATGGGGAATCTAAAAAAGATGACAAGAAAGCAGAAGAAAGACCATGTTGAACAAAAGGAAAGGAAGGGGGTCATAAGAATGGGCAATAGTGAGGATGGATATGAGGAGAATATGTGTCAATCCCCCACGTGAAACTAACAGAGCTTGATGGGGAGATGGAAATGATCAAAGTAAGTTATGTGTTTATGAATCGGCTAAAATGACGCTCATCCTTTTGAATTAGGCTCTTCGTTATTTCCTATATGCTACGTCTGGAATGTCTGGAGGTATTAAAATATTTCAAGTTTGTATAACTAGAAAATCTTACTTTTAGTTTTCACAGGTATGTTTGCCAAGTATAAAATTCAAAGAGGACGGATCTTTTTTTTTTTCTTTCAGTCCTTTAATTAGTCTAGTTTCTTACACACTTGGTCCTTTTTTTTTCTTTCTAATGTGAAATAAGATGCTACTTAATTTTGTCTTTCCATAGCTAATATTTTTATGTATATGCTTTAATGATTTTTTTCTTTACAATAAGTTTTGGACAATTTCATTTTTGTGTATCTTGGTATGATCTTATTTAAATTTCTTGTGTAAAAATGTTCATTTTTCTTGGAAATGTGGTATAATAATAAGTTGAACTAAATTCAGAAATTTTAAATCTTTAAATATTTATTGCCTACTCCTTTCTACTTTGAGATCTAATTATATGAATATAAGTTTCTTGGTTTTGACATGGTGAACTATTACAACTGATCTGTAAATTCTTTCTTCATTTTTATTTTGGACA